AGCAAGTACCTCTCTCATACGATCAGCGAGGCGATCGGCTTTAGAAGCTGAGTCCTCGCCTGAAATCATCAGAACGATTCCACCATCAGCGGCACGTTTCTCCCGTAATAAGTCAGGAGTTATACCCAGTTCGACAATATTGATTTGTCTCCTTGCCACAGACATAACTTCTCCAAGACCGACTGTCGCTCCCTCCTTCACGCATATAGAAATCGCTGCGGAAGTAGGAACTTTCGGCAATTTAACCCGCTGTTTTTTCTGCGTCAAACGGATCTGTGTCTGAGGAGATAAATTAACTGGTTGTGGTGCTTTCGCTCTTTTAGCCTTTCGACCTACAACTAGCGACCAAGTTTCCTGGGAAGACATATTCCCAGTGTGTTTATTCGGTACCGATACAGTCGGTGTAGATACCGCTGTCGACTCTGTTACAACTGGTGTAGCTACTTGGCTTTTCTTCATCTTCTTTTTCTTTTTCTTTTTCTTCTTATCGGCTTTCGCCCCCGTCTGGACTGGAGGAGAAACCACAAGTGTCCTAGCATCTGAAGCGAGAGCCGGGCGTAGCCTTCTCTCTGGCAACAACCTATCTTCTAGAGCAGCTAATTTCGCGTCCATCATACCACCGATTTCTATGGCAATGGAACGTCGGAGCAGAGCCACGTCATCCGATGCAAAACCATCTAGACCTAATAAAGCTGACGCTTGCATCTCTGATTTTCCTCCCTGCTGAGAGAGCGTGTTAAGCTGGTTTTTTAGCTCTACAACCGCTTCTTTCAGGCTAGCTATTTGTGCTCGCAGATCTGCGTTCTCCTTGGTTAGCTTCTCCAAGGAGTCTTTATCCGAGCCAGGCAAATTCACTACTGAAGCCTGGTCAGATGTAATTGTCGTCCGAGTACGCTTACGTGCGCGTGTCGTTATTGATACCGACTTCTGGGAGCCAACGGACATTTGCGAGCAGTCTGACTCACCACTGTCACTTATTGCACCGCCCATTGGTGTAGCTGGTCGTTTAAAATATGACCGAGTCCTCATCCCTTTTGAACTAGGACTTGAACTGTCCTTGCTCGAGATTTCCTTTTCCACCTTCTTATCATCATTTTGAAGTTTTGATTTATTTAATTCCATGTAAGTCCCACGAGTATGGGGGAAGACAAGGTCCGCCTAGGGGGTGCCCCCTGTCCCTAGGTAAGTGTACATTTATATACCCAACTAGAGGGTCCACAGGTACCCTAGCTGGGGGTGCGCTCACGACTGATACAACTCCTCAGCCATACATACCCTCGCCGCGCACCAGAACTTAGTATTGGAGGAATTTTTTATAGAGGTTATCTTCCTCGCGGTCCGGGCGGTTAAGCCAAGACCCTCGTCCCGTTCCAAGTCATGAAACATGACCATGATCTCTTCCCGGATTACGATCTCGACGGTTGCATCAGGAATAGTTCTTCCAATGCTACTCGTTGGCAGGGTCAGTGCACAACAAGTACCGTCCTCCCTCATCCAGCATGTCCTCTGCTTCAGCAGAGAAACAGGCGGATGACCGACTACCACCCAGTATAGGGTTTCTTCCAAAGGTAGGGCATCTGCTTGCAGAATACCTTCCCTTAAGTAGAGTTTAAGTCAAAACCCTACAACCATTCCCGAACCCGACTCGGTTCTCTCTTCATCCCGTCCAGAAGTTAGCTCCAGGAAGCAGTGTCACCATCTGCCTCCTGTATCCAGGGCGCACCACGGGGAGGTCTTCTGGCACCGCGCCCCCGACACTTGATATCCTAGGAACTTGACGTTTTCTTGACCGAAGACGCATTTTGACGGGTTTATAGTGATACCGTAGTCATTTAGTCTTCGTAGTACTTCTTGTAGATCTTCGATGTGGCGTGCGTTGTTTTCTGACGCGATGATTACGTCATCAATGAATGGAAATGCGAAGTCTAACCCGTTGAGTACTTGATGTATGAACCGTTGGAATGTCTGTCCCGCGTTTTTTAAGCCTGGACACATTCGGGGAAACTCGAACAAGCCAAACGGGGTTGTTATGGCTGTTTTCTCGATGTCGGGTTCGTAAACGGGTAATTGTTGGTATGCACGATTCAGGTCGAGTGTGGTGAAAATCTTCTTGCCGTGGAGTAGGTATGTGAAGTCTTTGAGGCGAGGTACAGGGTAGCGGTCGGGTTTTGTTACGTCGTTGAGTCTTCGGTAATCGCCGCATACCCGTATGTCGCCATTCTTTTTCGGGACGACGTGTAGTGGGCTGGACCAGGGACTTTTGCTTGGACGGCATAATCCCTGCTGCATCATGACTTCAAACTCTTTCTTCACGGCCAAGTATCGATGTGGGGGTAATGGCCGGGTTTTGCTATGTACAGGTGGACCGGTGGTTTCAATGTGATGTTCCACGCGGTGTTTGGGAGTGGTCTTCATGCATGATGGTCTTAGGATATCGGGGAATTGACTCAATATTTGATGATACGGCTGTTCGACGTCTATGCTTCTTACAGTTGGCTCGGCGGAATATGAGATTGGCGCTTTGACGGTGAGGTTGGTTACTTTGTCGACAAGACATCGACCGGCTATGTCGACGAGTAGTTGGTGGTGGCGTAGGAAGTCGGCGCCGATGATTGGCTTGCTGACTTCAGCGACGATGAATTTCCAACTATAAGGTCGGCGTAGGTTTAGGTCCAATTGTAGCGTCTTCTCACCGTAGGTAGGTATAACCGTGTTATTTGCGGCGTATAAACAGAAGTCAGTTGGGGTTATCTTCACGCCTTTTCGTTTAGGGATGACGGAGACGTTTGCGCCAGTATCAATTAGAAATGACAGACGTGAGTTTCTGTCTGTTATAAACAGGCGGTATGACGTAGTTGTTGCGCCGGTTCCCGCCTCATCCAACGCACCTTTTAGTTTTCCGGACGGGTGTTGTTGTTCTGGAAATTACACGGACGTGTGCATCGCTGTGCCTCCTTCCCGAACTTGCGGTGGTAATAACAAATTCCAGAAGATTCCGTGCGGCGTGGAGTGTTATCGCGCTGTCTGGACTGGGAGCGATATCGGTTCGATGATCGCGATCTGTTCTGAGGTCGTCTCGACTGACGGTTGCAACGATGGTTAGATTGTGCTGCTTTGAGTTCGGCGATTTCCCTCGTAAGCATATCGATTTTGTCTTCAATACTTGTAGGTACTCGGGGGAAAGCGGGGTTTTCAGTCACAGCAGCGACTGTGCCATGAGGTTGCGTCTGTTCGAGTATTTTGTCAGCCATCATCGCTAGATCGTGGATGTCCGAGTGTTTAGCGATGTTGTCGCTGACAGCGAGGACTGCGCGCACGGACTGGGGGAGGTGGTTTGTCCACATAATACGAAGCGCAGCGTCAGATATATTATCCGCGGCGAGATTCTTCATCCGGCGAAGTAACTGTGATGGTTTTAAGTCGCCGAGCTCCATCTCGGAGAGAAGGCGTTGAACTTGACGGTTCAGACTCCTCATAGACCTGGAGTAGTCTGTTTTTGAGGGTTTCGTAGCGGTCTCTCTCCGGAGGATGAAGGATAATGTCGGATATTTCATCGAGGTCTTGTCTTTCGAGATGACCGACGACAAGCTCAAACATGGCTTGGTCGCCCTTTTTCTGCGGAGACATAATCGCCTCGAACTGCGCAAACCATAGGCGTATTCTGTCGCGCCATATGGGTGGGATGCGCAGTGACGTCGACACGCTGGAGAGTTCCGGCGTTTTTTCGTTGGAGTTGGACATTACGACGAGCTTGATTTTCTGTAGTACTAGGCGGCGATTGATTGATTCTTGCAGAGATCCGTTGGCAGCGTCGGGGTCACCAATTTAGGAGCTAGGTAGGAGAGCCTAGTGTCCTAGAGGAGGTTTCTTCTTATCTTCTAGTAGTAGTAAAACTCCGATGAGAGGTGTTGACAAGAACGATTTTATTTCGCCAAACTACGCTACTTATATTTCTATTTACATATTTACAACTAGACAAGATCAGATATAGTTAGGTGATAGTTTCGACCAATAGCGGCGCGCCGGCGTGCGCGGGGCGCGCGGGGTGCGGGGCGCCGCTTTGCACACGGCACTATCGGTTCCTTCCGTATAAGTATGACCGCGCGGCGCGAGCGCGCGCATTTCTCCGAGAGCCGGCGTTGAGTGAAGACTGAAGACTACCTACAGATGAATGAAGATGAATGCAAGTACTCCGGCCTCCGGCTCCGGCGCTGCTTGGCTGCTTGGCTGCTTGCTTTACCAAACCGCTTCTTTCGAAGCGATCGCTCGCGGTACGGTGTGATAACGCTGTTGCCGCAGTGATGATTATCGTTTCTATGCAAGAAAGTCGAAAACTGTCTTTTTCAAGACAATTGGTTTCTGGTTTCTTAAAACGGAGTCAAAACGTAAACTGTCTTTTTCAAGACAATTGGTTTCTTGTTTCTTTAAACGGAGTGAGTCTATAACTTTGGTAAAGGTATTGTGGAAGGTATCTGGTATATGGAAAGGTATTCGGTGGTACTGGTAACTGGTAGGTATGTAGTCGTGCGGTGCGGCTACAAATGTATAAACAAAAAATCATTCAAATTAGTTCAGTCGTATAGGATAAATAACCTAGACAACGACTGCAGCGCCATCTGCCGGGCTGATTTGTGAATCTAAACCATCCAGGGCGCCACTCAAACGCGTACGAAAAATTCATTTAAATTGGTGAAGCCGTTTAGGAGGAGTTTAATGACATACACACGTACATCAGAATTATATAAAGAAGATATGTCTGACTGTAATGACTGATTACCTACCATTTACTATAAGGTAATCAGTCATTTGTATATTTAAGTGGGTACTGTTTCCAAAAATACTATTCTTCCACCAAAATTATTGGATTCCAAATTACTGAACACCGGACATAGTCAGAGGCGCCACTAGTTTTGAACGCTAGTTAGCTATAATTTATACGTTGAATTGACTATAGTATAATCATGGGTAAAACCATGTTGGGTCGTCTATATCAAATTTTGAATCAGTTCAAATCCGTCGTTATGAAGTCGAGCATGTGTGTTTTGGTATTCTACTTAGCGGTGGTAATAACTGCTGAAGAATGGCGGGAAGTGAAAATTGCGCAAGGAACACTGCGCGGACGCAAAAATCCCGAAAAGGATGTGTTTGTTTTCTACAATGTACCCTACGCGACCGCTCCTGTTGGAAAAAACAAGTTTAAGGTAATTTTTTACAATTAAATATACATATGCATTCCTATCATATAGATGGTTGGCAGGCCACAACTGTGCGCTTCTCACGTAGCTTCCTGCCTCGCACAGCAAAACTGTGGAATGATCTGCCGGCGGCGGTATTTCCGAACCGATACGACCTTCAAACCTTCAAGAAAAGAGCGTACTCTTTTTTAAAAGGCCGGCAATGCACCTGTGACTCCTCTTGTGTTGCGGGTGTCCATGGGCGGCGATGATCGCTTACCATCAGGTGATCCGTCTGCACGTTTGCCTCCTATTTCATAAAAAAAACCATCAGTCTTAAGTTTCAATCAAATAAATATATAATGGCTGTTTATACTTTTTTACAATACACCCAAGCTGGTTTAGGTCCCCGTCAAGATATATTAGGAAAGAAGTAATTTTTTTATCCCAGCAAAAAACGCAACGATTGAATATTTAATAACATTGGCTTACCGATTCTGGATATTAGTAGGTATTAAATAATGGGCTACTTAAATAGGTTTACATCAAAAGTATTAATAAAAAGTATTGATATAAATGTGAAGAATCAAATACTTAATAAAAAACGAAAAATGTTATGTTGATACCCCAAGTAACTTGATATAAGAACAGAGAGACGTAAAACCCCAAAAAAATTGGAGCCAAGTTCATACTTTTAACCTCGAAGCGTAGATCTACGCGTGGGACAATGCGTTTTCTATTGTATTTCATACTACTTCCGCGCGGTTTCACACGCTTTGCCCAGCTCCTATTGGTCGTAGCGTGATGTTTTATAGCCTATAGCCATCCTCGATAAATGCACTATCCAACACAAAAATAAGTATTCAAATCAGACTCGTAGTTCCGGAGATTAGCGCGTTCAAACAAACAAACAAACTCTTCCACATAATAGTCTAAGCCTAGTGCTCACCACAATTTGTACGCCTCCGGGTATAGCATAGCGCTCTTTTTTATTACCATATATAAGACCTATATCTGTATGCACCTATGTTAACAAATAAAAGTGATTTGATTTGATTTGATTTGATAGTATAAGGTATCGAGGTTAAATTTTTTTTTTTTCAGGCTCCGCTTCCGCCTCCACGTTGGTCTGAACCATATGATGCTATTGATGAAAATATTGCATGTCCTCAACCCGAACTTATAAATGCTTACATCAACCAAACCTTTAAAACTAAAGAAGATTGTCTTATCGCCAATATCTATGTTCCAGAGACAGACAAAAATAATCTCTCGGTTGTCGTGTACGTACACGGGGGTGGCTTCATTGTAGGGTTTGGTAATATGATGAAACCACTACATTTACTAGACAAGAAAGATATAATCCTCGTCACATTCAACTATCGACTCGGTATTCACGGATTCTTATGTCTCGGTACCGAGGTCGCACCAGGCAATGCTGGCATGAAGGACCAGGTAGCACTGCTAAAATGGGTACATCAAAATATTGCTAGTTTTGGCGGTAACCCTGATGACGTCACCCTCGTGGGTAATAGTGCAGGTTCTGCATCAGTGGATTTGCTAATGCTCTCTAAGTCAGCAGAAGGATTATTCCACCGAGTCGTACCTGAGAGTGGTGGTAATCTTGCCGCTTTTACAATTGCAAGCGATCCTGTGGAAAACGCCAAATCGTTTCTAAGGCAACTTAACTACACTGATGTAGATGACATTTGTGATGTGGAGGAGTTCTACAAGACGGCTTCACTTCAATTATTAACTTCAGATGCATTTTTCGAAAGAACTGATTCTACCTTCCTATTCTCGCCATGCGTAGAACGCGATACCGAAGGTGCTTTCCTGACAGAAGCTCCTCTGAGTATACTAAAAAAAGGAAACTTCAAAAAGTTACCTCTGTTATACGGATTTGCTAACATGGAAGGACTGTTTCGTATTGATTTCTTTGATAGCTGGAAAAACAAGATGAACGAAAAGTTTTCTGATTTCTTGACACCTGATTTGAAGTTTCAATCCGAAAGTGAAAGAGAACAAGTTTCTAATAAGATTAAAAAGTTTTATTTTGGTGAGAAGCCGGTGGGCAATGAAAGCGCGATAGCCTTTGTCAATTACTTCTCTGATGTTTTGTTTACTCACCCTATGCTTTGGGCAGCGAAATATTACGTCGAAGGTGGAAACAGTCAGGTTTACTTGTATGAATACTCATTTGTTGACGAAGACTCTACCCTGGTGCCCTATACTGACATACGAGGAGCAACCCACTGCGCACAAACAATCGCAGTAGTAGATATTGGCGACGAAAGCAAATTGTCACAGAAATATCAGGATATGAAGAAAACTATGCGGGAGATATGGTACAATTTTATTAAAACTGGGTAAATATTTTTAATTGCATAACTGTTGAATACAAATGTCATATGTGTGTTTTTACTTAGTTAAATTCCCATGGTTTATCGTTTCAGAAAACCGGTACCCGAAGGTTCATCCTTGCCTGCGTGGCCAGCAGCAGGTCCTGACAGATCACCATATATGAAGTTAAATGAAAAATTGGAACTAGGTGGGATCCTCTTAGAAGAACGCACTCAGTTCTGGGACGATATTTATGGAAAGTATTACCGAGACCCCGCGGCACCTCCAGCGTCACCGAAATGCCAAGAAAAATCGTAAAAAGAAATTAATTGACCTTTACCTATACCTATAGTTAGGTGTATCTATAATTGTATTATAATTAATAAATACAACAACTACTTTTCACAGACCTGACAATGCACTTGTAACTCGTCTGGTATTTCAGATGTCCACGGGCTGCGCTGATCACTTAGACACTTAAATGATCCGTCTGTTCATTTACTCACTGACCCGAAATAGTGAGTTCTTATGTAATATGTATACATACATACGTATGTAAATAGTCAATGAGAAAATTGGAGAGGCCTATGTCCAACAGTGGACGAATACGGGATGATGATGATGATATTGATGATGAAATAGTCAATGAGAAAACTAACAAACCAAATATATTAAGTCCGTTGACAATAAACACGTACCTACTAAATACTACGTCCCCGGGGTACATTTTCAAGTAAGTGTGGGAGAGCCATGCTTCGGCACGAACGGGCTGGCTTGACAGGAGTGATACCACGGTCTCACAGAACACCGACGTGAAACTATGCTTGCGTTATGTTTCGTTGTGTGAGTTAGGTCCAATTACATTATAGAGCACCTAGCTGCCCTAACAATTCTATTTGTCGTATCAAAAGTGCCTAGTCAAAGATTAATTGAAATAAATATTTTGAATCAAGCTACACGGGACGACAGGAGACGCCTTGGAAAGCATCAGGCAGCAGCTGTTGTGACAATTTCTTCAGCAGTAACCAGACGTGAAGACGTAACAAACAAACAAATTATTATAAAGTATCAAATTAGGTTACTCCAGGTATGTCATCCTAATTTTTGGGTTGCTATACTGATATTTTGTTTTGCCGGGCTTTTTCAGTCTCTACTTTCGTTTGCCAGACTCTACGCCATTTTCTTAATATGTAGAACAGCAGTGTGAGAGCACCCTTACCAGTTACCGTAGATAAACAAAGGAATAGGGTTAATACATTCGAAATTTAAAATTTGGTTTCTTTTTTTCTTTGAATGCTTTTCTTACTTTTTTCCGCCAGTTTATTCACTCTTATTCGTTTTCAACAAAAAGTTTTTGTTGTAAAATGTATTTAGTTATTCATTCGTAATTACGTAATTACAAATAAATATACTGCGTAAACGGAAGAGTGCAATATATTATTATTATACTTCTCTGCTCCTCCCGTCGATGTTGATGACGAGGGCTATTGATAGTGACAACAAAAGAAAATATATTTTTGTTTTTAAACATTTATTCATTCATCAATAATTATTTATTTACGAAGCATTTCGTAATTCGTTGTAGTCTACTGTTTTACTTTTAATTTATAATTACCAGTCTTCTCGATTTAAAGTTTACAAATACATTAAGTAAATATACGACTATTCAACCTCGAGGATTCGATTATGAATCGATTCAAAGCCTAGTCGATTAAATGTCTATGCCCTAAGACAATCAAAAGTTTACGCTATTCTATTAAAACAGACTAAAGAATTTTTGAATCGACAAATTCAATATTTCTTTACCCTTACCTTGAGGCTTACACCCGAGATCTGATCTTGTAGTAGCCAGTCCTGCAAGTGGTAGCGATTGGAACCACTCGTCACAAAATAAAGGAATTAATAAGAAAAAAATTCCAAAGAATTGTTGTATGCGTAAGGTTTAGGAATGTCATTGTTTGGCGCTGGTGGTGGTGAGGCATCCCTATAGTACTTCTGGTAGATGCCGTCCCAAAACTTGGTACTTTCTTCCACGTACATGTTGTGCAACTGGACGTTAAGGTCTAGGGACAAGTAGGGCGCCCTCCCTGCTCCAGCAGCGGGCCACTCAGGCAAAATTGAGTCTTCAGGCACGGGCTTACTGTAAGTTATAGAAAGAAATAAAAATTATGTAATTGCAAAACGGAAACGTCAAAAATGACTAAATACAAGGGATGCATTCATAATTAGGTACTTTATAAATATTGATTAGACGTATTGTAAAAAAGAAATGTGTAAAAAGGGCACGGACAAAGAAAAACATAATTATAAAAAACGTTTATAATTATGAAAAGAAAATGACCCAATAGGCAACTGCCGAAAACTGAATGTTACGTTCAATATGGGTTGATGTGCCCCCAAGCCGAGCTTTGTTTTTATGCCTTCTAGAGGTAGTAATAAATAGTGTCATTATAATTATCTGTGATTTTCTGTATTAGCTTGGAATTTCAGAAAATTTTCCTAATTATAAAAACATTAAATTGAATAGGAGTAAATTATGAAATCATTGCTTACCCAGATACAATAAAACTGTGCCAAATTTCACGAACAATGGCCCTCATATTCCGATACTCAGGAGTCGAAAAGCTCTCACTTTTGCCATTCATATTATCTAACCACGCCATCGACTGAGCACCATGTTCAGCACTTCGTTTTATACTATGGCTGTCCGTAGTACTTCCATTGTCCGAAAATGTGTACTCATACAAATATACTTCATGATGTCCAGCCTCCGCATGCAACTTTACAGCGCGAAGCATAGGATAAGTAAATAGAACATCGGAGAAAAAATCGATGTATCCAAAAATTGTCTCTCTCTGTACCGGTTCCTTGCCAAAGTAGAAGTTCTTCACAGTTTGGGCCACTTGTTCTTTTTCTGTATCAGATTTAAACCCTAAGTCAGCTGGCAGAAAATCAGAAAACTTTTTATTCATCATATCTTTCCAAATATCAAACATGTCTATTCGCAATAAACCTTCCATGCTAGAGAAACCATACAATATGGGTACCTTCACGTAGTTACCCTTCTTCAGTATTCGTAGAGGAGAATCTATCAAGAATGCTTCAGTCCCTGTGATACGCTCCACACAAGGTGAGAAAACAAAAGTAGAATCAGTTTCATCGAACAACGTAAGTGATGTCAATAACTCCAACGAAGCTGTTCTATAAAACAGATCTAAGGCATAAACGTCATCGGTTTTCCTGAAATTTAGTCTTTTAGCGTGATTCTTAGCAGTTTCTAAAGGATTTCTTTGTACTGCAAATGCGGCAAGGCTCCCACCACTCTCAGGTATAACTCGGTGGAACAGCCCCCTGGCTAATTTAGAGAGCATTATAAGGTCGACTGCTGCAGATCCTGCGCTACTACCGGCTAGTGTGACATCATTAGGATTTCCTCCGTAACTGGCGATATTTTCTTGCACCCAGCGCAACAGTGCTACCTGATCTTTGATGCCAGCATTTCCTGGAGCGCCTTCGGTACCTAGACAAAGAAACCCATGTACGCTGAGGCGGTAGTTGAACGTGACCATAATTATATCTTTTGACTTCATTAGCTGGGTCCCTTTATTCATGTTTCCATAACCAATCAAAAAAGCGCCTCCGTGAACATATACGAGGACTGAAAGGTTTTTTTCGAGAGTGTCTGGCACAAAAACATTGGCAACTAAACAATTTTCCTGCATCTTCAAGTTTTCTAACAGCATTTCAATAACTATTTTGTTTTGTGGACAGACAATGTTCCTGTCTAGAGCTTCAAATGGTTTCTTCCAGGTTGGTGGTGGAAGAGGCGCCTGTGAAAAGGAAACATACCTGAGGAACTCTACTGCTTACACCAGTAAACTTACTAAATAAGACATGTATATACAAGTTATTGTTATAGGTACCTTGAATTTGTCAACACCAACCGGTGCTGTGGCATAGGGTATATTGTAAAACGCGTATACTTCTTCGTCGATCTGTTTGAGTCCGCGCACTGGTCCTTGAGGCGTATTCACTTGCAGCCATTCTTCGTTAGCTGAAATGGCGAGCACACTCACTAGAAATACACACGTCTGTCTCTGCATTATCACGGTAATAGACTGACCTCATAGCGAAATTGTTTACACGATTACCGAACCAATCAATGAAGTTCTTATTTTCTTTTGTTGACACAATTAACGTGATCGTTGAATATGCGATTGCTATCTAGAAACACTAACACCATTGTGTGTCGGCAAGTCTAGAAATGTTTCTGTTTACGATTCGCTATTTTACTATTGTGTTCATAGTTACGTTATCTACAGAGTAATAATACAATACATACATATATTTCTTACTACCTTTAAATTCTTGTTCTTATTGTAATTACATATTTACAAATTATACAATTGTAAGAAAACTTTGTTTAGCTTTGAATTGGAAATATATTCATCGTTTCCGCCTGATAATTAATGATTATATTGCAATGTTGGCGATCTGCGTGTCATTGCTATCATATTTAGATTAGGCGCCTACTGCAAATATTGGTAAAAAGAAACGAGAAAAATCAAAACACAGATATAAAACTTTAATTAATTAAAATATAAGACACTCACAATGAAATCAATATACTTACCTACAGGTAATTTAAAAGTAGGTACCAAGGTAGGTCGACAACTAAACAGGTATTCATGAATGTTAGCTAACAATAACATGTTACTTAGCTGAACCCATGGATGATAGGATCAAAGAAATATACCACATACTTTATTGTTCCAACAACAGTAGCTCCACATTGTTCGTCCGAAACATAAATTAATTACAAAGGAGACAAACAACTTTGGCAGCATCGCGCCAACGAACCAATATGAGATTGGAAGTAGAGTCGAAACAATAGGCTAACAGCCGAGATAAGTCTTTAACTTAATTAACTCCCGAAGGCTTCGGCATAATTAACTTCGAAGCTTTTGGAAGTGGGGTATACGTATACAGGAAGAATGGTGTGCGTGTATCAGAGGGGGGAGGGGGCTGATTTATAACTGGTGTAAATGAAAGTGTGACGCGGATGCGGACGTCCCCGGGTCCCAAACACGACCGTTTTTGTGATGTTATCTTAGGATTCACAACAATTCGCTGAGACGCGGCCGCCTGCTACGTGACCAGAGTGGCGTTATTCTTCTATTTAACTGAGTAGTTTTGCCCTCCGATACTTTTATTGTGCCATAAATTCCCTCTTATTGCTTCAAATGACTCAAAAGTTGGAACTATCGCTTTACAGTAGCTTTGAAGTGTCTTGTGTTGTTGTTATTTATCGGTTTCGTGATCTTGCTGTATATTGGAGATCCTAACTGGAA